GTCTCTGATGCTGATTGGCATGTGGTTGGTTTTCACCAGTTGCACTACGTATTCTACTTGGGATTATGGATGCATGGCCTCTGTTAATCATTTAGAGACCATTTTCAAATATAGGAAGCAATGGATTGATTGCCACTCTTTTTCTTTTCTTTCTTTTTTTGAATACAGGGTTTCAATTAGCCCAGGTTGCCTCAGATTTGCCATCTCCTGCCTCAGCCTCCTGGGTGTTGAGATTACAGGTGTGTACCACTATGCCCAGCTCAGTGGCTTACTTTTATAAGTGGCATTTGCAGAGAAAAATGTTTGAAAAACTACAAATGACTAGAAAAGGATTATTTTCTCTCTTTAGGTAGGGAAATAACTTTTGATAACATACCACCTACTGTTGGCTTTTGGAAAGCTGACCTTAACTCTCTCCCTGCTCATGTGAAACATACAGTTTCACATACCTATTTACTCCCATTGGATCATTATTTTAATTGTACAAAGTAAGCAGTTTTATTGTGACACTTCTGTACATCCATATAATGTTCTTTGATCATATTTACACCATTAGTCTTTTTTTTCCTCTTTCCCCCCTTTCCCCTCCCACATCCCTAATAATCCCTCTTTTCTACATTCACATCCTTTCCCCCAAATCCACATATGAGAAAAACATGTGGTGCTCATCTGTGAGACTGGGTTATTTTATGTAACATGACACATCGATTTCCCTACAAACGACATAATTTCATTCTTCTTTATGTCTAAATGAAATTCCATGTGTATTACATTGTTCACCACATTTTCTTTATCCGTTCATTCATTGATGGGCACAAAGGCTCAACAACCTGACTTTTGTGAATAGTGCAGAATTAAACTTGGGTGTACAGGTGTTTTGTCCCTTTAGGTTATTTTAAAAACAAAAAAAACCTTTCCTAATGTGACAAAATGAAAACATTTTAAAGATTGAAATGATGAGTGAAATTCCAGATACTTCAGAATGTTTTCCGTGAGTGTAATGTAAGTCTGCCCTCAGTGCTTCATATGCATCATCTCACTTGGTTCTTAGGCACAGTCCTTCATGCTACATGCACAGAAGCCATTCTCTGAAGTCCCTGAAGCCACATGTGTTTCAGAATTCCAAGTTTTTCAGAATTTTAGAAAGGTAATATATGAAGCAGATGTGTTACTGTTCTACTAGTGAAACGTAGTCATGTCGGGGATTTTCTAGCACAGTAGGTGAAAACAGTCATTCGTTTGTATAAATTGCTTTCTGTCAGGTTTCAGAAGATAGTAGAGTCAGTCAAAATAGGTACATATAAAAACTTACCATTATTACACTTCTTGTAAATCAATAGTGTGTGTTGTACTTACATGAATATGTGGATCAGAATTGGTACATCATTTCCTGTACATACACCTGCCTTTGTTTCCTTTTCCTTAATTTTTAGAGTGGTATTCCCTAATATTACCTACAGAAAAAAAGCACTGTGTAGACATTGGGAAAATTGAGTCTGTCAGGTCACATTGGGAAGTGTTTGGCTTGTTTTTTCTTTCTTTTATTTTTTACTCCTCGTACTGCAGTTTGAACTCAGGGCCTCACACTTGCTAGGCAGGTGCTCTACCACTTGAGCCACTCCACCAGTCCTTTTTTTGTGTTGTTTGTGTTTGAGATGGGGTCTTGGGAACTATTTGCCTGGGCTGTCCTGGAACTGTGATCCTCTTGATCTCTTCCTCTAGGATTACAGGAGTGAGCTGCTGGTGCCCAGATTGGTCTTGGCAAGGGGGATGGGGAGAGGTGATGTTTAAAGTATTTTTGTTTAGGAGGGTAAAGTTGATCTAAGTAAAAATGTAAAGTAGCCACATTTTCATTTAGCACTTAAACTTATTTGTGCTTTCTTCTTGCTCCGGAGAGTCCTGCCCCATGGTATAACAAAGATGCCCCAATTATGGCACCCACCTATTCTGCCTCCGTAGCACCATTGTCTTGAGTTCCCTTTCCTTTAGTCAGCTGAGGACAGGAAAATTTTAGATGTCACAAAGAGATTTGGAACAGGATGCTCATCCCACCCATTTTTTCATGCCTTATACTCAGATTTTGCCTTCATTTTAAAGGCATTCTAAACCTCAGAGCACCATTTCATCTCCCTCGCCTTACAACCCCTCCCCCTCCTGTCATGTTTCTCTGACTCATGCCATTCCTTTCTTACTAGCTTCCTGGGTACTCTAACCCTACAACTCTTTAGCTTTTCCCAGGGCCTACCACTGTCCTGTTGTTCTCTTAGGAGCTGGGATTTAATGGGCTCTGGTTTTGTCCTTAGAATCCATTTACCTTTGTACTCTTGCTTTGGATAGAACTTACTGAACCAGAAAATGGGGATGAAGCTTATAAGAGAATACTTTCTTTCTCAGTTTGGATATTTGAAGGTGGCTGTGTTCTGATAGTATTGTGCATCTCAGGTGATTTTAAGGTATCCATCAGAGTACTGCATTCGAGGCAGTTGGCAGTGTAAAGTATTGTTAGCAGAGGTTTTTCTAACTTTCTTCCTTAGCCAAAGGATTTGACAGGGGAGACAGCTTTAGTGCTTGGGGAAATCTGCATAGCATTGTGAACATGGTAAACAAATGGATAGCCTGGACTTGAGCTGATTTGAGATTGATTTTCACTGTTTTTAACTTAAATTGATTCCTTACCTAGAAAATAAAGTCTTCTAACAGGTATTTTACCTGTTTGTATGCTGTGTTACCACAGAATGTATGTGGGTAACAGAGGAAAATCCATTCTGGAGGTGGTCTCCAGGGCTGGACGGGAGCCCCCAAGACAGTATGGAAAGGGATGTATAATTTAAGTGAGACTGGAAGTGTAAAAGCAGATACTATTCTAGGCTCTTATTTTATAACTTAGGACATAAATAGCATGACTTCATGTTGTGAACATGCCTCCCTAGCCACTATGGTTAAGCCCTCTTTGTTGTTTGCTGTTTGTCACTTTAAAATATTTCCTGATGCAAAAATACCATCCATGAGCTTGCAAGTCAGATAATTTGTTAAGTATTTACTTATTAAACATTATTAAGTAAAGTATTTAACCATATTTAATTCACCTGGTCTTTTTTTTTTTTTTCTTGAGGGAGCAATACTGGTTTTTGAACTCAGGGCTTTGCACTTGCTAGGCAGGCGCTCTACTACTTGAACTACTCTGCCAGCTCTTTTTTGTGTTGGTATTTTCAAGATAGGGTCTCAAAAACTGGCCTTGAACTGTGGTCCTCCTGATCTCTATCTCCTGAGCAGCTGGAGTTACAGGAGTTACACCAGTGCCCAGCTTCACTTGGTTCATTTTTAGACCAGAACCTAACCATTACTTTTCATATCAAATTCCTTTTTTTTTTTTTGTAGTACTGGGGTTTGAACTCAGGGCCTATACCTTGAGCCACTCCACCAAAATTCTTGTTAAAGGTGTTTGAAATTATGTATTAAAAATATTCTATTATTGGGTAAATCTGTGCAAATACCCATATTATAAAGAAAAAGCTGGACTCTTGTTTAAAATATACTTTATTTGTGTGCTAGCATGTTTTCATCAACATCGACAAGACAGAAGGGATCATTTAGCGGTAATACAAGTTTACTGTCTTTGCCACCCATGGCTATCCCAGAACCCCTGAATATCTCTCTGGTATTCTGGGCCCAAATGAGGCCTCAGATGAGCTCACAGACATTCCTCTGATTTTCCTTTCTGTTCCTCCCCTCTCTGCCTTTGGTGGTCATTTCCTGTGAAGGTACTTGAGGCCAGGGCCTCCTCAGCAATGTTGCCAGAGCCCAGGACAGAGGTTCCTGGGCTTTAAGAGAACTGTAAGCTGCCAGAGCAGTGGTGCTGTGTTCTGGCAGAAATGTTCTTGGCAGAATGCTTACTGTCTCACACCAGCAACCTGGTGTATCTCACATCTCACAGACTCCTTTCAAGCGGCTTCTTGCAGTGGCCTTCTCATAGAGCCGAATGGAAATTCACGGAAACAGTAGGGTTAGGAATCAAAATCTGAAGCACACTTTTCTGTCAGTGGCTTCCTGCAGATGCCTCTCAAAAGAGTTTCCTCTCTCTTCAGGGCCAAAAATTAGCCTGATTGTAAGAGGTATCCACTTCATGAACCATGCCCACACACTTCTGACTCCACTTCAGATTCAGTCTCAGACCCTGCCTGCATTTACTTAATAGTTATGTTATCTATAGATTTTAGCAGTTTTTCATCTAAAGCAATTCATGTTACTCTACTTATACACACTCACCTCACTTTCCAGCCAGCAGATCCCAGAAGCCCAGCTGATCATGGAGCAAAGCAAAGTCCCAGAAATATGGATTAATTAACTTTTACCTCTCTGGTTTTTGTTTGTTTGTTTTTTGGCAGCACTGGGGTTTGAACTCAGGGCCTCACACTTGCTAGGCAGGCGTTCTTATTGCTTGAGCCACTCTGCCAGCAACTTTTACCTCTCTGTGGTAAATACCTAAGTGTATGACCTAGTCTTTTTCATATATCTTATATGGAAAGGATAGCTACATAATTTATTATCTGCTTTTGAGATAAAACAAACCATTGATATTCATGTCAGGACAGTAAGGTTATATTGTCACCCTTACATATGAATGAGCTGTGATATAAACATCAGTAATCTTATTTTTACTTTTATTTACCTACTTCCAAAACCAAATGGTAGGACTTCATTATTGCTGGTGTGTGTGTGTAAGTTTTGTTTATGAATGTGGGTTTCTTTCTCTTTCCTCTTCTCCGCCCCCCTCCCCTCCTTTCCCCTTCTTTCCCCTTCCTTCCATTTTGAGATGGCATCTCTCTGTGTTGCCTGTGTGCTTAAGCAATACTGTACCATTGTTCTACACTGGGATTAAAAGTTTGGATTTCTTGCCTATGTTTCTTTCTTAGAGCAACTGCTGATTAGTATTAATGTCTAATCATACCTTGACTTTTTTTCTTGTCTTCACCACCTAGAAGTGTTTATTTTCATTGCAGATGCAGAGTTTACAGGGTGGTACTGAAGCCATAGCTCGATTGGATCAGTTAGAAGCTGATTACTATGATCTACAACTTCAGCTGTATGAAGTACAGTTCGAAATCTTGAAGTGTGAAGAGTTACTGTTGACAGCACAACTGGAAAGCATCAAAAGACTTATATCAGGTATGATGTGTATTTCACACATGAGTCCTCAACAGATTGCATACATGGAGAAAATGTAAGTGAATGCCAGCTAGGTTTCTTTTGCTAAGACTTTTTTTTATTAAGTCTAAGCATAAACATTTCAAAGGCATCTCTGAAGTAAAAAAAAGTCCATACGATGCAACTGTGTGTTGGTTTTGGTTATCTTTGTAAAATATTTTGTAAAAGTTACCCAGCCTCTGAATTTTGTAAACATTTTGAATTTTGTAGGGATGGAGTGGGGAGGAGAGTAAAGTCTAGAATTATAGAGCATGGTGTGCTAGACACTGCTAAACAAACACTTTGCACACATTCAGTTTACAAGGTGTATTTCCTATTAATCAACATTTTATAAAGAAGCTGCTCTTTATAACCACAACCCCTTGCTGCTGCTCGGTAACAGAAAAGAGAGATGAAGTGGTGTACTATGACACTTACGAAAGCATGGAGGCCATGCTGGAGAAGGAAGAGATGGCAGCATCTGTGCATGCACAGAGGGAAGAACTACAGAAACTACAGCAGAAGGCACGCCAGTTGGAAGCAAGACGGGGACGTGTCTCAGCCAAGAAAGCCTACCTCAGAAATAAAAAGGTAGTAAAATCTTGCTTTTATTCATTACTTGATTCTTGACTAATAGATAATAATTCTAATGTGATTTGTCACTAATGCTTGAAATTTTGGGGTTTTTTGTTTGATTTTTGCTGTACTGGGGTTTGAACTCACAGTTTCATGCTTGCAAGGCATGCTGCCATTTCAGCCACACCTCTGACCCTAATACTTGAACATTTTAAAAACAAAATAATCATTACCTCTGTTCAGTACACAGTTCATTATATTAAACATTTATATTCCTCTCAGAATTGCCCTTTTAAACAGTCAGTTGGAATGTGCTCTTTACCTCTAGCAACCATGAGGGCGACTCTGCTAGAGCGTCTCATGGGACTGTAGAGTGCCACATGACATAATTAAGGTGGCTAGGGCAATCTACAAGTCTTGATTCTGACTTCAGTCTCAAGGAGTTTGTTTTAACTTAAATCATATTTCAGAATCCTTGGTCATTCTTGATATCTGGAGTGATTCCGTTTGTGGAAATGTAATTCTTCCTATGTCTTAGAAAATGTTTTGCTCCCTATCCACAAGTGGCTGTCGTGGGTTGTTATTAGTCACTATGAATGTGGGTTTGGAATCTAGAACCATCTGTAAGACCTGGACCAAACTGATGACTGTGTGATACTGATTTGCTGTGAGCTCAAACATTCTAACAAAAGTGTATCATGTTCTGTGAGTCTGTCTTCCTGTTCTTGACCATATTTTAGGGATTCCACAGAAAATAAAAGACTTCTCCTGTTTCTAGAGTAAAAAGCTTGTGTACCTTAAAAGCATTTTCCTGCAATATTTCAGTATTCCAGAACCTTCTATTATGTTAGTCTCAGAGTTATGGCTTTTACATAATTCACATAATTCTTTGCCCTTCTTATTTCCATGGTGATAGTGGTCATTAAAACCCACTATTATCTCAACTCTGGACCTGATGGTAGCATGGTGTAGGATCCAGCTTGCACCAAGTAGGTCAACCTTGTCTTGATTCTAGCAGTCTTACCATGTTTATAGAGAAGGCTTTAAGGGAAAATGAAATGTAAATAAAGGTCTTAGAAGAGCAAATTTTTAATGAAAAATCAGAAGTGCTGTTTTCTGTTTTTGTTCATTTGACAGTACTGGAGTTTGAACCTAGATACTCTACTGCTTGAGCCATGATCCAGCCCTTTTTCCTCTGGTAATTTTGGAGATAGGGTCTCACTTTTTGCTTAAACTGGTCTGGAACCACAATTCTCCCAATACCAGCTTCTGCATAGCTTGGGATGACAGTTGCACACCACTACACCCCGCTGTTAGTTGAGATGGGGTCTTTGCCTGAGCTGACCTTGAGCTGCGCTCTTCCCTGTCTCAGCCTCCCAAGTAGCTAGGATTACAGGCGTGATCACTGGTGCCTGGCTAGAAGGACTGTTTTTATATGTTAGTTTCAAGTATTTAACACACTACTTCAGAGATAAGTTGGAGTTGGTGAACCTGAACCTGAAAATTTTTGAAAACTTTTTGTTTTGAAAATCCTGTATGATTCATTTTAATTCAACAGTGTATTAGGCACACTGTTAGACTTGGGATACAAAGATGAGCAAGGCACAGCCCCTACTTCTCCCAGTCACATAGAGAAAGGCAAACCATGTGATCACGTACAGTGAGCACTCTGTCAAAAGAGCAAGAGAAGGGAATGAGGAAAGGTTTGTTAGGAGAGATGACAGTTGGACTGGGTTTTAACAACTGAATAGAAATTTGGTAAGTAAGTGATATGCTGGTGATAATTCTAAGCAGAACACAAGAGCTTTTCACAAGGCACTGAAGAATAACACAGCATGGTCAGGTCACTGTTGATGGTGAGAGATGCTGCAAGGGACAGGGTGATGCTGCAAGGGACAGGGTGATGGAAATTTTGTATGTCACATTAATAGGCCCGGGCACTTCGTTCTGAAGATGAGGAGAATTACTGAAAAGTCTTAAGCAAAGGGACAACATAAACAGATTAATATTTTAGAAAGGTATCGCAACATGAAAATAAGGTATAGGGAGAACTAAAAAGTTCTTGTTGGAAGGTGTCATTATCCTCAACTTCAGTAAAGTTGGGATGTTAACAGAGATAGGGGTGGTACAGCTGGTAGGAGTAGGCAAATCTGTGAAGTGTTCAGTTGTGACCCTGTTCAGAAATAGGAAGGCAGTAGGTCTTAGTGGTTTGTATTGAAGGAGAGAAGATGAGCTATTCCGCATTAGCTTTCCCATTAGGCTTTTGAATGGGTGTTTGGGTGTGTATGATCCCACCAGTCATGATGAAAAACCCAGAGGAAGAGCACATACTGCTTTTGAGGTGATGAGCCAAGTTTCAGTCTAGCATCTGAAGGGTTTGGGACATCCAGGTAGAGATGGCCATGACACAGTTGGGCCTTAGGATTCCAGAAGAAGGTATTGAGGTGATTCTTTGCAGTGATAGTGGTGGGGTGATTGATAGGGAAGAGAAAGGGGAAGATGGTTGAACAGGGGAGATGTGTAGTTTGAAGAAAAACTTCATGCTACTTAATATTTTTATAATTCAGAATGCAAATCTCAGCACAACATTCTTGGAGAGAGGGTGACAAGACATTATAAAGAGCACATGTTCTGAAGAATTTAGCAAGTCTCAGGTAGTGTGAGAAGAGGCCCATAGGAAAGAAGCCTGGGGAACATTTGTGAGTCTGCAGAAGAAAGAGATCAAACAAAAAAAGAGGAAGGGCTGGCAGAGTGGCTCAAGTGGTAGAGTGCCTGCCTAACAAGCATGAAGCCCTGAGTTTAAACCCCAGTACCGCCAAAAAAAAAAAGAGAGATTGAGATAAAGCGTAGTCTGAGTCAGAAGAAGCAGGAGAGTATGAAATGAAGAAAGATGATTCCACAGAATGAGGTGATCAGCAGTAGCAGGCACTCCCAAGAGGCCAAAGGAGACAAAAAAATAAGGTGAGGGAGTTCTGTGACATCTAGTATTTGAGACTATAGGGGCCTTATGTTGAGTTTGGGAGAGAGCTGGGAGTAAGAGGTAGATTACAGTGGTCTAAGAGGAGCAGTAGATGTCTAGAGTAGAGACCAAGGGGAGGCGGAAGGAACTGATTGCACACAGGGAAGTAATTAAGAGGAGTCATCTTGTGACCAGACACACAAAGCATTACTCTGGTGGCATGAAGAGTCTGAATCAAACTAAATTCTCCCCTCAACTTTTCCCTCTATGGAATGTATTAGCATGTATCAATCATCAATCTAACAGCATCTTCATTCTGCATGCTATTTTTTTTTGTGGGACTGGGATTTGAACTCAGGGCTTCACACTGCAAAGCAGGCACTCTACTGCTTGAGCTAGCCACAACTCCAGTCCATTTTACTCTGGTTATTTTGGAGATGGTGGAGTCTATCAAACTACTTGTCTGGCCTGCCCTTGATCTACCAATCCAGCCTCTCAAATAGTTAGGATTGCAGGTGTGAGCCGCTGGCACCCAGCTTCATTCATTATTATGTTAATCTAAGTCTGAGGTAGGGGAACTCATCCCTGAAAGATCTGTCCATTTATGCTTACACCCTGCCCTGCTAGCCCACCAGTTGAGGTAGTAAGATTTCAGAGGGGAGGGAAGAATGACATGAAACCACTTAAAAGATGATGATGAAATGTATGGGGATTTTTTGTTTTTGCTTTTTTTTTTTTTTTTAAAGATAAAAACATGCCTCTCTGAACAACAACATCCTATACCTTGCTTACATATCAGAGTGCTCAGGTTCATTGGCTCCCTGCTACTTGGTTTGTCTGGCATCTGTAGTAGGATTACATGGCCAAAAAGATCTACCAGTAAGGAAATCATGGTCTTTGCCTTGCTACTTGAAAGAGTGGTGTTGGCCACTGATTAAAATTGTTTCAAGAAGAGTAATAGAAATAACATTGTTCTGTATGTATTTTATCTTTTTATTTCCAATAGCCAAATAAAGTAATCCCTTGCCTGAAATTAGCATTTTCATACTTCATTTGGTGGCAGAAGTAGACCTGAACTGAAATGAAGTTATAGTCTTAATCTCACTTACTTTGACTATTCATACATTTTACTGCAAATATAATTAGTATTACTTATTATAGGATATTGCTTCAGCTCCTGCCCAAGTAATTACATAATAATATATGGTGTATGCGACATACCACCATTCTAAAATATGAAAAAGATGTGAATTTCAAAACATTTCTGACCTCAAAATAATTCTGTAAGAATCATAGACTTGTATACTCATTTTACAACCAAGGGAACCAAGGCTTCTTTCTAATAGTTGAATAAATCACCCACGCACAAGCCCCTAGAGTGACTAGGGATCGTAGGATTTGATCATAGGTCTGTGTGATTTAGAAGCTTGTGTCACTGTGTTCTCTGTATCATGGCATTACATGATACTACTTTTGTTTTCCTGACTGCAATAGACAGATTTCTTGTTAGGCAGTAGAGTGAACCAGAACAGGTAAAGAATGTGATACACACATTTGCTTTAAAATACAGTTTACTGTCTTTAAAGATTATTATTTTCTCTGATTGAAAGAGTGATTATTTTGGTATAGTTTTGAGAATATTGGGAACTAATGTTAACCTTTTTTTTACCTAGAAGACTTCTAAGGATAGATAGTTATGTCAAGAAAGACATAGGGTAATGTATGAAAATAGAACAGGGAAACCCATGGAGGTTAGGGGGTGATGATAGGAGAGATAAAATAAGAGGGTAAATTTGACCAAAATTGTATGCATGCATAGAAATACCGCAGTGAAAGCCCTTTGTAGGATTAATATATGCTAATAAAAGAGAGGAAGAAAAAGAGAAGATTATCTTTACCTGTGGTCCCTCCACCTTGACCTTGGAGTAGAACTTTGAGCCAAAATAAACTTGTCTATTACTTATAAAAAAGAAAGGGAGGGAGGAAAGAAAAGAGAGAAAGAGGGAAGGGGGTAAATGAAGATTAAGCATGGTACTGCTAAAAGGTTGCCACTCAGATTACAAAGACGCACATTTGCCAAAATTTATTGCAAAATCTTCATTTTATATATGATGCTTACAGTTCACATTGCTTTAAATGATTTCTTTTCTGTAATTTCAACTTCTGACTCTTCAAGGTTTCTTTTAGCTCTGAGAACTATGACCAAAAGATTCAGGTCTCCTGATAATTGTTCAAACCAGTCTGGACAAAATCATGATCTTCATCAGAGAAAGCTAAGAGAACACACACATGGCAGTAATTGTGTTGTGTTCTTTCTTGCCCAGACTTGTTTAAAGAGAATAATGAGATGTAGAATCTTCTGTCCACAGACTTTGTCACTAAAAGGGAACTTCAAGATTGTATGAGGACAATAACCCCTTCTACCTTGTCTCCCTACCCACCCACCCACCCAATAACAAGAGACATCAGGAAATGTATAGAAGTTAATGGTTTAATATACGAGTGTTTTGTAAGATCCTGATTGGTTGGTGTATAGTTCTTCAACAGTACAGATGGGAAACAACAGGTGGTTTGCTTGGTACTTTGCAAATTTATCAAATAAACCTTTCTGAGTTTCACTTGTATTAAAACATGTTTTATATATTTATAGGAAATATGTATTGCAAAACACAGTGAAAAATTCCAGCAGCGTTGTCGGAGCGAAGATGAATATAGAACCCATCACACAGTACAACTAGTAAGTTCAGACTCTTGGAGACTTGGAATAGAACTTACTTTTCATGTGTCTGAGTGGATAGAGATCTGAGAATGAGAATCATATAACTAGATGCTAGCATTAGTATGTGTGTGTGTATGTATATATCTGTATCTATGTTATATATATTATGTATTCTATTTACATAAATATATGTGAGAGCAGTTTTTAGGCAGAATTGAGTGGTGAATACAGAATTCCTATATGCCTCTACCCACTTATCTCCCAACACACACACAGCCTCCTCTACCAGCAGAGTGGTATATTTGTTGCAGTCAGTAAACCAGTATTGCAGTCAGTCACATCATTACTGCCGAGAGGTCACTGTTAACATTAGGTTTCTTTTTTGATGTTGTATTGTCTACTGGCTTTGACAAGTATATAATAACACGAGTCTATTACTACAGCACCATACAGAACAGTTTCAATGCTCTAACTATGTGTGGTTGGAGTTAGTGTATATAGGCTTTCAGTTTGGCCTTCTTTTACTTATCACTTACTAGTATGGATTTAAGGTTCCTCTGTATCTTTGTGGCTTGATGACTTATTTATTTTTAGTCATGAATGATATTCCACTGCGTAAATATAACACAGTTTATCTACTCACCTAGCGAGGGGCGTCTTGGTTGCTTCCAAGCCTTGGCAGTTGTGAATAAAGCTGCTATGGCTATCCATGCAGGTTTTCTATGCACAGAAGTTTGAGCTCATTTGGATAAGTACTAACCTGTCTTTCAAAGTAACTGGACTAATTTTCATTCCTGCCAGCAATAAATGAGAGCTCTGTTTATCATCCTGTCTCGAGCTGTTGGCTGTGATCAGGGTTTGAATTTTAGCTGTTCTAATAACTGTAATGGTGTCTCATTGTTTACAATTCCCAAATGACATACGATGTAGAGTGTTTTTCATATGCTCATTTGCTGTCTGCTTATCTTACTTAGCATTTGGTCAGATCTATTGCTCAGTTTTTAGTTGGGTTTTCTTATTGTTGAGTTTTCAGAATTCTTCACGTGTTTTGGATAATAATCCTTTATGAGATGTGTCCTTCGCAAATATTTCTTCCCAGTCTGTGGCTTGTCTTCTCATTTTTTTCTTTTTTTCCGCTACTGGGGCTTGAACTCAGGGCCTACACCTTGAGCCACTCCACCAGCCCTTTTTTGTAAAGGGTTTTTTCAAGATAGGGTCTTGCGGACTATTTGCTGAGGCTGGCTTCAAACCGATCCTCCTAATCTCTGCCTTCTGAGTAGCTAGGATTATAGGTGTGAGCCACCAATACCCAGCCCTCATTTTCTAGACAGCGCTGTTCCTCGTGTAGAGGTTTTTAAGTTTAGCAAAGTCCAAGGTTCTAGTTTTTGTGAGGGGATAAAGTCTGTCTAGATGATAATGATATTTCTTCTTCTCCCTTCTTTCTTTTCTTCATACCTAGTTGCTTCATCATTATTTGTTTAAGAGATAGTCTTAAAACAATCTTTGTCCCTTTGTCAAAGATTGGATGATCCTATTGAAATTGGTCTGTTTTTGGGCTCCCTGTTCTGTACTGTTGATGTAGGTCTTTTGCTCCTCCATGTAAATTTTAGAATGAGCTTGCCAATACCCAAAAAATAACTTCCAGAATATTGATTGGGACTGCATAGAACTGACATCTCTCTACAATATTGAGCAGTATCTTTCCACTTACGTAATTCTTTTAATTCATTCATCAGTTTTATAGTTTTCTTCATTTAGTACTTATGCACATAGTGCATTCCCCTCTTGGGAATGGTGGTAGTAATGTAATAGTATTATGTTTTTAATTTCAAACTGGTTGGTTTCACTGCTGACACAGTAGAAAGCAGTAGAGTTGTATATAGTAGCCTTGCTATGTTGGCTTCTTCAACAGTTACTGTTTTCATATTGATTTTTCTTTTGATTTTTTACAAACAAAACCAATTTTCTTCCCAGTCTGCATAACATCTGTCTATCCATCCATCCATCCATCCATCCATCCATCCATACATCATCTGTCATCTGTCTACTTACTTGTGCCTTACTGCATTAGCTAGGATTTTCATTACAATGATGAAAAGGAGAGGTGAGAAGGGACACATTTGCCTTTTTCCTGAGGATTTCCCCAGGATTTTTGGTAAATGTTCTTTATCAAATTGAGGAATTTTTCCTCTTGATTCCTAGATTGCTGAGAGTATTATAGGTCACATTGTATTTTATTAGAAACCCTCTCTATTCTCAGTTTTTCTGAACTTCACCATGTAGTAGGACTCCCTCCATACATGTCCTAAATTAGTTGACACCAATAATTTATATTTAATTAAATATAAAAAATGCCAACATGACCATATCTCTTGTTTGCTTATTTTAAAGATTTTCTTTCTTCAGCATCACAGTACAGCTCATTGGGTTTAAATGTATCCTTTAAGCTCATCCTGGCACATTTTAGCTAACCTTGCCCCTTATTCTTAATCTTTTAAATACACAAAATTACTCAAACTCTCCAATCCTATAAAATCACCTTTCTCCTAGAAGCTAAAAACATCAAATTAATGTCCTTTTATTTTTCATTTCTATTTCTGTAGGTCAGAAACTGCTTGATAAGATTAGATAAGGTACCAGCAAGGCAGCTAGGTAAATAAGGATACCCACTACTGTCCCCATCTGAATTTGCATTAGTTCCTTAGTTATTGATGATATACACTTAATGGGTCTTTTTTTATATGAAGATTTAAAAATTTCTGATGCTGTGTCAATATTTTGGTGGATAAATGACCCCTTAACCATTCTGATCTTTCCCCCAAACACTTCTGTGGAGCAGAGAAAGGTAAAATGATGAAATTAATATTTCAAAAATAAATGTCATCTTAGAATTTGGCCCAATACCAACCTCAGATGAAATACCTAATGTCAGAGACTGAACCCTGAATCTACTAACCAACTAGTCTTCTAATTTAATATGCACAGCTTAAAGGAAAATTATAGTTGGCTTAGATCAAAATAGACCATTGCTTTTCAAAGCTAGTTTTAAATCATCTTTATTAGAATTTCTTGGGTGGTCAATTACTAGTAATACAGATCCCTAGATGTTAACTTTATTGTTTCAACAGTATAAACGCCTAAAAAAGTAACAAAAACATGAAGGTTAGCTGGGTGCTGGTGGCTCACACTTGCAGTCTTGACTGCTTGGTTGCTTAAGATCAAGAGCACAGAAGAAATAGGCATGCCAAATTTCGTTTCTTCCCTCTCACCCTCCCTCCCTTCCACTTGCTAAGCAGGCGCTGTACCACTTGAGCCACTTCACCAGCCCTTATCTCCAGCTTCTGAAAAACCATGCATTGTTAATGAATGCTTTTACTGAAGGTTAAATATACAAATAGAAAAGTGTATAAATTGAATTTTCATAAGATGAGCATACCTGGGTAACTTGTACTCAGAGCAGTAAGGGGTATTAATGGAAACCTAAAGCCGCCTGTGTTGCTGTCCAGCACTACTCCCTACTCCCACTCCCACTCCTTCAAGGGCAAATTCATGGCTGGCAGAGTGCCTCAAGTGGTAGTGCAAATGCCTAGCAAGTGTGAAGCCCTGAGTTCAAACCCCAGTACTACATTGAAACAAACAAGCAAAAAAGATTTAGCTTCATTTTATGGAGTCATAAGTGACTTAGCCAAAGTTATCCAAGGTAGTAAAGGGGAAAACTGGTATCCATTGCAGACCTGCTAGCTGCTGGCTGTGCTCTCAGGCACAGTACTGCCATGTTATACTCTGTGCTGTAAAAATTCTGCCTCCCCACACAAACTCATCAGTTCATGCTTCAGGAGTCAGAACCATTCTCTCTCCATCTGGGATCTTTTAGATTCTAATAGATTTGACTTAGAGTATATCAACTGACAAATCAACAATATGTTAATCAGCTAATTTATCTCAATGCTGTATCCATCGGATTTATACATTGTGTTTAGAGATCAGGTTCACCATTGGAAACTCTTAAGTTTCTCATATAAATAACGTTTTTTCCTCAACACTTCAGCACCACTGTCTACTAGATAAAATGCTTTTCTCTAAGTACAGAGCAATCTATTCATCCCTGGCATCATTGCTACAGTATAAGCCTTAGGAAAACTTGTCGTTCCCTTGGGAACCCACGATGTGTGTCTAGACTTGGGAAGATGCAAGCTTACTCCCAATCCCAGGTGTTTCCCAGACACACGTTAGAGTTTGTAACTTGTTTGTGCTGACTCAGCTGGGTGGGAGGGTTTTGTGCTCCAACTCTGGAACAGAAGTGGGTGTGGGGCAGGACGGGGTGGAGCATGCTCTTGCATCACTGTCCTTGAGCAGTTCTGGCCTTCCCTTTCCAAAGGGAGGGTCCACACGGAGCCTTAATGTCTGCTTTTAATGCAGAGCTCAGTCCATATCTTCTCTTTGTTTTCCCATCTGGAAACCTGTAAGATTGTGTAGCTAGTCTTCTGGCACCTGAGACTGCCTGGCTTTGTATCTGTTAATAATTGATCTTTGAGAATTCTTATGACCCGCTCAGATAATTCCCCAAAGGCAAAAGATTTTTCTGGTTTCTGAAAGAAGACAAGGATAAAGAGAATGTATCATACAAATATAGTACTGAAAAATTCGAAATGATTAATGGAAACTCTAAGAGCCAGAAAGTAAAACTGATTTCTGTGACAGTGTGACAGTGCAGCCCATTAGGAAGTACTTCTCAAGACATTACCTAATCAGCATCTACATACCAGTCACCTGCCCTTCAGTCACACAGCTAACAAAGCACTACTGCATCCTTCTGCCAAGAATTTCACTTAAATCCTGACACTGTTCTTAGCTTAACTTCCTGTAGTGCCTGCCTGCACAATTTCTCGAGGAATGTTTTCATATATGGATTAAGCTTGATGTTCTGAACATAGCTTTTACTAGTACTGAAACTGTTCTTTGTCACAAGTCCAGGTTGTCTTAATACCTCATTAGATTATTTGTCCTCCCCACTCCACAACACCCAGCCCTTTTCTGTTGCACTCTCAATCACTACCCACCCATAGTTGACCAAGTTAGAAAACATGAACTCGTCCTTGCTGTTTGACAGCACTAAACCCATGTCTATTGAACATACCCACTCTTCCCTACCTCAGTCACAAATCTCTGCCTTTCCTCTGGTGCTTATCACAGTGCCTGGTTGGACTGGTGATGACTAAATGTTGGATGGAAGAATTGAATTGATCTTAGCAAGCTCCTGCTATTTTGCTAACTTAGGTGATATTTTCACATGCTACATGACTTTTTCTACTCTGTCATCTTAATTAGTCCTATTTTTTTTAAAAACAAGTTTTTTTCTTGAATATGTTGATGTCTATGTATAAATTCTGATCATTTATAGTAAATGTTAAAATAGGTCCTAAACATTTCCTCACTACTACTTTTTGGATCCTGGTATTATGAGCAGGTTTGTGTGTGTGTGTTTTTTTTTTTTTTTTTTTTTTTTGTGTCATCATGGTTTGAACTCGGCCTCATGCTTGCTAGGCAGGTGCTCTGCCACTTGAGCCACTTCACCAGCCCTTAGGAGCAGTTTTAATTAGTGGCTTACAAAGTTTCTTAACCATTCCTACAGCTAAAAAAACCTTTATTGCATATATAAAAAGAGATTCATGAGCATTATAAAAGATTAAAAACTGTCAAAAATTGCACAGAAAAAAAATCAATTCTAAAACTGATGTTATTTCTAAAGGAGGATTTTAAGTGTGAATCTGAAAGAACTATTAGAATTTACATAGGTTTTTTGACAGGAAGATTTGGAAAAACACTAAATACTGTGATCAGAGTTTTCAAACCCATTTTGATTTTGGATTCATGATATGAAAGATGAAGAAATTGTTGCCCTCATACATTCTTCCAACTCCAGTTTCCTGCAGCACTCAATATGCTGTGAATTGTCATGTAAATGTTTTAATGTAAAGATAATATTAGACAATTTTTGTCATATACTCCTGTTTCTCAGTAGTTTAGATTCAGTTTTGAGTTGAGTGCTTATTGGTAATCTTCTTAGCAGCTTCTCTATTTGTGAGTTTTAGTTTTCATCTTGGAATTGGTTAGATTTCATTAAGGTATTATTTCAGGAAAGTTTTATGGTGGCTATATTTCTGAATTCTTGCATGCTTTGGGAATGGCTATTTGTGTCCTTTGACATAAAGGACAACCTGAATGCATCATGTAGGCCATTTCTTTTCCAAAAATATTTTGGAGACACTGCCATACTGTAATTTGAAGTATTAAAGAGGGGTAATGAAGAGTTCTTAGGTCCTCACCCTGCAGGGCACCTGATTTTTCTGATAGCCAGAGAATTTTTCTTTATTCTGAAGTCCAGTGCTTTACTAGGTGATGGTCGTACATCATGTTTTCCTGGCTCTTTCTGGAGTCTCTTAGGTTCTATATAGATTACCAATGACGACCACACCATTTTTTTTTTTTTTTTTAAGTTCTTGGGCTTAAACTCAGTGCCTACACCTTGAGCTGCTCCACCAACCCTTTTTTTGTAGTGGGTTTTTAGATAAGGTCTTGTGACAATTTGCCCAGGGTTGTCTTCGAACTGCGATTGATCCTTCTGATCTCTGTCTGTAGAGTAGCTATAGCTAGCATTGCAGGCATGAGTCACTGGAGCCCAACTTATATTGAATTCTTAGTGTGATGTTGTTTTGTAGTTAAGTTCATCTAGTTGTTTTTGTTTTTTCTGTTTTATTTGTGTGATGACTTTAAGCCTGTCTTTCAGGGTCTCTTTTCAGGCCTGTTTCCACTGTAGCTCTTATGTGATAGTCGTAACCTTCTCCCGCCAAGTATGAATGTGGAGATCTGCTACTGCAAACCTTGCCATTTCTCTTGTCATTGTTTCTCACCATGAGTGGGTCAGAATGAATCTGGGAGTGTCCTTTCTCCTACTCAGAGGGTTAACTGTTACTCCTTCCCCCAACCCATTGCCACTCATGAGGCCCATGTGGTTTCCCATGTGATTTATGGAAAGTCCTTATGTCATAGACTGTCTCTGTCAATATTTGGAGAGTATTAAAACTCTCCTTCCTTTACCCTGCCTTACTCTGCAGTTTTCCTTAAGCAGTGAGGGGTTTTTGAAAGTAAAGCTAATGTTTTACTGTCTTGTTTGTTCCTTCTCCTTTGTCCACACCCACCGTACTGTATTTTGTGGTAAGGAATCAGATATGTAGAGGATCATTCTCATCTTCTTCTGTGACCCGCCCATGTTTCCTCAGTCCTATCACTGAGGAAAGTTAATGAGTACTTTAGAATTGTGATGTTACTTTTTAGAGCATTCTGAAGGTGACTATCAATACTAGAAGTTTTATAGTATTTGGCAGGTTTGCACTATAATGTGTAACTTGAAGTTAATACCATCTCCTTGTTTTATTTGCAGATAGCATTTTCTTCTCAGATTTTCTTTGTTTTTAGTTAGTTTCAAAGAAGGAGAAAGAGTCATGATGGCATTTGGTGTTTTTAATTAGAAGGTTCCTTGTGGGCATCCAACTTACTATTCTAATAGTAGTCACTAGATAACCTGAAGAATGATCATCATTGCCCTGGAAACATTTTCCAGTTTTGCTAATAGAGGTTTTTGGTTTTTTGTTCATCTTCTACCTGTCTTACTTTGGGTACATGCTAATTTATTTCAAACTCTGAATTTTTTAAAAAAATTCTTATATGTAAGTAAGTATTACTATGTTACACTTGAAATAATTAGCCTATTACATATCTTTATTTTCAGTTTCCTCTCATCCATAGGCTGCCCATTTCCTTCCCCATTACATTTTTAAGAAAACAAAAATAGGAAATCTCTTTATCTTCTTAGATTTTGATATAGTCACTTAAGGCAAATAACAGTAAGTGTCATTAGACATTATGTTTTCTAGGGAAAAGCTGATGGGAGAGAAAAGTGAAGCAATCCAATAAGAGAATAGTGGAGGGCTGAATTTGAAAAGAATGGTCATAGAAGACTAGAAGACAGGTTAATTTCTTTTGTTTAAGACTGAGTCTCACTATGTAGCTCAGGCTGGCCTCAAACTCAGGACCATCTTGGCCTCTGTTTCCCAATTGCTGGAATTATAAGTATGCACCAGCATGCCTGGTGACATTAATATTTATGTGAAATTATCTGGTTTTGTGGGAGATGGCTCCAGTTTTTAAAAACAAAGAAAATTTGTAACCTATCTGCCTATCTAGGAAGGCTTTTCATTTTTTAACTAAAACATATTCTGCCAAATAAGATTTTATTATACAGCTTCTAGATGATTCAACAATATGGGGAAAATTATAAACTTCTGTGTAGATAACTGCCAACTACAAGGTATGATATTAAGCCATAGGATTTATGGATACTGCTTGAAGCATATTTTTTCTAACTTATGGTTATATTGGCTGGAACAATATGCAATACCTAAATTACTGAACAAGTGGTTGCTGATTTTATTTTTGTTCTCCAGTAAATCTTCATTTATAAAAACAGGCAGCTAACCTGTGGCTTGTAGTTTGCTGACCTCCTGTGTTTACAGGAGGTCATGTGTATGTCCATGTGTCACATAGACACACAGTGCTGTTGAATACTGTGGTCTTAACCATCCACATATTAAGGAAGAGAAGATCATGTCACACATGTGTGCAGACAGCTGTGGTTCCAGCTGGTAGTTTCCTTCACCTGATTTTATTTTTAAAGTCAACCATATTGAATTAGAAAAAACAACCTTTGCAATCTGCCCTCTGCCTTCCAAAGTATTTTTTACTAAAAGTGTTTTAGCCAAAATTCCCAAGATAAACCATTTTTAATTTACAGAAGATTTAATTTTTAAAATTTTATGATATTAGTGGGAATTTTAAAACAATGATTTGGATTAAAAACATAGTATTTCATGTTGTAAAAGATTTGTTCAATGAAGCACTCTCTTACCCATTTACCTACTGGGTGAATTTTCACCACCCACCACCCCCATTCTGTCAAAAACAAATAGGGTGCAACATAATGGAATCATTATTAATTTTTTACCAGAAGAGAGAAAAATTACATGATGAAGAGGAAAGAAAAAGTGCCTGGGTTAGCCAAGAAAGACAGAAAACACTGGATAGACTTCGAACATTTAAGCAGGTAATGAATGTATGGTCCATTTATTGTTTTTCATTGCTTTCAAACAGATACAGATTTCTATTTAGAATGTATTATAACCATGGCACTTTTTTTAACAGTTTTGATTGCATGGCTCTCTTTCCTTTGGTTGCTTCTAGAATTATTATTCTTGTGACCCTGATACACAGCTTCAGGAGTATATGAGGGTTGTTAAAGGGGGTCTGGGAAGCCTGAATTCCCTTTGAGTTTTATAAAAATATTTGTAATGGATATTATTTATATTTATAATATAAAATTTATATCAACCTGTGTTGTTAATCCATGGAGTGACCATTGTCAGGACAAGAGGGTGGATCAATACATATGAGAAATGCTTGAGCAGTTCCCTTGCCAGGCTAAACCTGTAACTCAGGACACTGAAAACCTCTTCAGAACCATGCTGAAGCCCCATGGCTTTAGTTGCTGTGTGCTGAGGGATCACCTTACAGGTGAAATGAACTTTTGATTAAGTCCTCTTAGGATTACAGTGAAAAGGGGTTAGCGAGGGCACCCCTAGTAAAAGCATAGGCCTTGCATTAAGTAAATGTTGTCTACCAAATGGCATTAATGCTAAGTATTCCTTCAGTGAGAGTTATAAAATGTTACTGTATGTCGGTACTCTAAAAAAATTTCCTTTCCTTCATTTTATCATAATAGGCATATAGTGTTAACAGTTTTAAAGAAATGTCATGTAACCTGTTATAAAAGTTGTTTCAATTCTTATCTTTAAGCATTTGAAAACATATAGTAAACTAATGAGTTTCTTAGCTTTCTGCATGCCATTTATGTTTGACATTGTTTGTTTTGTATTTTGCATACTATTTATTTTTTTTACATTGAAATTAGTAATTCATTAAAGATTTTTAAAAATCACATGGCAGTTTTAAATATGGTTTCTGAGGTAGAAAAGAGGGAGCAAGGCCTTACCATATTTGATAAGCAGATAATAAAGGAGTTGGTGATAACTGTTTGAAAAGTAGCATTGATGTTCTAAGTTTTTTTCCCCCTGAAAAATTACAAAGCAGTTAAAAAAAAATCTTTGTCAGTTGAAGAAGGAAATAGCCATTTGTTCATAAATTGTTTTTAATATAAGTGTTCAATTATAATAACTTTTGATATTTTAGAGGTACCCTGGACAAGTCATACTTAAATCAACCAGATTACGACTGGCCCATGCAAGAAGAAAAAGTGCAGCAAGTCCTGTGCCCCGTGAAGATCAGTGTGACTCTCTACCAAGAGTGTTGCAGGGAGAGGAGAAAACAGAAGAGGTGAGAGAAGGAAGAGGCCAGCTTGGGTCACCTCAGACAGCAGAACCCCAGAGCCTTGCACAACTTGAAGATACTTCATTAGCACAACTTGAAGCCACTTCATTACCTCTCAGTGGTGTTACCTCTGAACTGCCTCCCACTGCATCTCTTCCACTTTTGACTAGTAATGACCTTGAACCATGTTCTGTTACCATAGATTCACCCCCACCACCTCTTCCTCCAACACCCCCTCCGCCCCCTCCACCTCCACCTCCTCCCCCACCCCCACCACCTCTGCCTGTTGCAAAGGATGAATATGCTGCCACCACCGCAGAGACACTGGAGAAAGGTCTGCCTAGAAAAGAGGGAAATGAAAAGCGGATCCCAAAGTCAGCCAGCGCCCCCTCAGCACACCTCTTCGATAGCAGCCAGCTGGTTAGTGCCCGGAAGAAGCTCAGAAAGACTGCTGAAAGTTTGCAGAGGAGAAGAGGTGAGTGAACAAGACGCTTCCAAGACCATCTGGGTTAAGTAAGGCATGGAAAGAACTTTGTATTTCATTCTAAAACATTATTTTTGAGACTTATTTCTTAGTAAATCAGTTTTTAAGTTCTCAGCAGAGACAAATTCTTCCCAACCCAGAGCAACAAAGGTGTACAGATACACAGAAATGTGTATCTTCTTGAGCTGTTAGGTATGTTTTAAAAATACATCTTCTGAAGTGATACATAACCTAAATTTTGTTGGATGGCTCTGGTTTGTGTTAGGAAAAACTCTTATTTTAAACCTGGGAGAGACATACTCAGTAGCTGGGGTGTAGATCAAGGGCGGTACACCTAGCTAGCATGTGCAAGACCTTGGTTTCTATCCCACAAAAATACAAAGTTAAGAAGTAAAGTATTCACGTAAGAAAGAGGGTAAGATCACATGACATTTGGTCACACTTTGGTATTGAAGACCTAAACGTGTGTTTGTATAAAAAGGAAAAGAAGGATAGGGAGTAATATGTGCAGTTTATTTATGTCAAATATATCTCATTAAAGTATCCCTAAAAATAACAGGAACTGAATGGCCTTGCCCTTTGAGGAACTTTCAGTTTGCATGGGATAAACAATGTACATAAAGCAATTTGCATATATGTTTTCTATTTTATTTCTGTAAAATATTGCCTACGTCTCACATGGGAAATGATAGGAACAGCAAGAACACCTGCTATGGAATTTGAATCTTGGGAGATTTTGAAACAAGGATAAGTGAGGAGCTGGCCTAGTAAGCATAAGGCCCCGAGTTAAAACCCCAGTATGCCAAAGGGGATTTTAAAAAAAAAAAAAATGGATAAATGAGGATCTCTTTTGCACTGGTAACCTGCTCACACCTTCTGTTCCACTTTATAGCTGGTGTTCAGTGTCTTGGAATTCCATAGTCCAACACTCCAGAGGACATTCACATTGTTTGACTTTCAGGTTTAATCTTAACTAATTGTTCTGTTTCATTTTCTAAAGTGAGCTCGCCCATGGATGAGGTGCTAGCGTCCTTGAAACGTGGTAGTTTTCATCTGAAAAAGGTTGAACAGCGAACTCTGCCTCCTTTTCCTGATGAGGATGATAGCAATAACATCTTGGCACAAATAAGGAAAGGAGTAAAATTGAAGAAGGTGCAGAAGGAAGTTTTGAGAGAATCCTTCACACTTCTGCCTGATACAGACCCTCTAACACGGAGCATCCATGAAGCTCTAAGAAGAATCAAAGAAGCATCCCCTGAGTCAGAGGACGAAGAGGAGGCTCTGCCTTGCACAGACTGGGAAAACTAACAAGTAAATGGCCTGTTGTCTTTAGTAGTATTCAGTAATACAGCTTTTATATTGGATAATGGAGTCCAGTATTTCTTATTGAGTCTGAGGCCTATTGTTTATTGTACAGCTCAATTATACCATGGATGATAAATTTGTAAATTTCAGGTTTTACTTAACTCTATAGTTTCTTGAAATGAAGATAACAGAAAAAGCACTTTTAAAGGACTATTGCTATGTAAATCTCATGTTTTTTATATCTTGCTCATTAAAAATGTTTCCAGTAGAGCTGTATCCTAAGTAAAGGGGCAGTTTTATTCTTGTCTTAAGCAGGAAAGGCTTTTTGTAACTGAAGCTGTTATGTTTATTATTTGATGTCTTCTTAGCTACCCACAGAGGAGTTTTCTAAGATGAGTATTAGAAAAATGATCACATTGTCTGGTTAGTTAGCTTTCTAAACCTTAAAAAAACAAACAAAACAACAACAAAAAACTACTTAGGTACATCACAGTTACTGCATTGCCTAGATGAATTTGCAGCTATCATTAATAAGTATATAAAAATTATACATATATCTTGTCCCTTGTATGTACTAAGATAATATTTGGTTACACATATGGCTTTCTGCTAAGTAGTAAGAGAGTTGCAGTTCACTACTTTTAAACAAACTATGGCACAAACTACTAAATATTTCAAATCAATAACACATGGTACAAATTAAATAGGATATAGGACTGGTGATGATTACAGCTGAAATACGGTTATTAGTGCAAAATGTACAGAGTATGCAACCATGTTCCATTTGTTATTATGCTCTCTTGATTGACTGTTTCTCTGGGTTTCACAACATTCATCAAAAGAAGAAAGACTTAGCTGGTTATGGTGGTACATCCCAGCACTCAGGAGACTGAGGCAAGAGGATTGTGAATCTCAGCTACTTGGGAGGTGGAGATAGGATTGTGGTTCAAAGCCAGCCCAGACAAAAAGCATCTGAAAAGTAATGGAGAAGATGCAAAATGGGCCAGTGGTAGAGCACTTGCCTGGCACGTGTGAGGCCTTGAGTTTAAAACCCTATTATCACCAAAATAAAAAATGATAAAATATATGACTGATATTACTTGGTTATATCAAATAAAATACTACAAAAAGCAATTTCGCCTATGCCACTGGGCATGGATTCATCAGGAAAATATTCCTCTAGTACCTCTCTACCAAGCCCCTTACCAGTATCATCTGCACCAAGCTTATAAAAAAGTGAAAAATCACATTCTTAATATGTGGTGTCGCATTCCCTTTACTGTGCTTCATTCAATATTCAGTGGTACCATGGTCTGTTTTACTGCTGTTAACATATATAGAGGCCCTGATTTCAGTCACTTTGTATGATCTAATGTTTTTTGGACTCCCAAATGCTTTTAAACAATTTTTCTTTTGTCATCCATACGTACACTTAATGTCAAATTCACCCGAAAGACAAATTTGGCTTTATTTTTTTGGGCGGGGGAGGGAAAGGGAGGTCAAATTCGGGAACTTGCGCTTGGTAGGTGGGTCCTCTAACACTTGAGTCACTACACCAGACCTTTTTGCATTAGTTATTTTTTAAGATAGGGCCTCACTTTATGTCTGGGCTGTCCTACGCCACAGTCCTGCTGTTTGTGCTTCCCCAAATACCTGGGATGACAGGCACGCCCCAACACCAGCCATTGGTTGAAATGGGGTCTAGTGAACTTTTTGCCCATGCTAGTCTCCACCATCCTCCCAATCTCAGCCTTCTAATTAGCTGGATTATAGGCTTTAGCCACTGTGCCTGGCTTCCTTCAAGGAGATTTCTAAATAGGAAATTATATGGACTTTAAGTTTCTAGTTTGTTTCCTATGGGATCTTTTTTAAACTTACTAAATAACTACAGCTATGCTGTACAATAGAAATACAATGGGAGCCACTATATCATTTAAAGACTAATACATTAATTAGTAGCCCAAATAGTATTTTTCAGCATGTAATCAACATAAAAAAAATCATGAAGTAAAATCCACAGTTTTTGTTTTCTTCCTTTTTTTTTTTTTTTTTTATCTCCCTTTTTTCCTAACCTCACAGTGCTAGGGATCCAACCCATGGCCTTGCACAAGCTAGATAAGTGCTGTGCCACTGACCTACACCTCTCCGCACTCCTTCTTTTTGCGGGGTAGTAAGTCCAGGTTTTGATTCTAAGTGCAGTCCTTATTTTACACTTTGATAGTAGCACATCTCAGTTTGGATGCTAAGTTTTCATTGGTTAAAGTAAAATGTCCTAAAACAAGAATATATTTAATAGAAATGTATTTTATACTGTTTTGAGTTTTTTATTTAAATCAAACTAAAAATTTTAATTTCTCAGTTACACCAGCCACATTTCAGTTGCTTAGTATCCATATGTAGCTGTAATGTTAGGAAATGTAGAACTCTAGAGGTGAGGGATGTAGTTCAGTAGTAGAGTGCTTGCCTAGCTGTACCCGGACTCAGTCCCCAACTCTGAAAAAAACGCAGAACTGTAACAAAATAAGTTGGTACTTTATTCATGAGAATGTCTATTTTTGTCTGATAATTAGTTCATTTTATATATATATATATACCCCTGTGCTGTAGGTAAGTTCATATATCTGAAACATAATATTTTTGAATAAAAAGCATGATAAAAACATACCCACTTAAAGACCAGTTTTTATCTCATACCCTAAATGTCAGTGACACAGAAACAGTCTCTCTCTATTGAGTTTTAAAGATCTTTCATTTTGAGACAAATATTCGAGACTGAATTTATGCTGTAATATGTAGTTCTGGCATAAAATGATACTGAAAAAGGAATGAAAATGAATCTTAACAGTAATCACAATCAACGTATTAAAATTATTTTGTTTTCATTTTTATTACTTTAAGAATAGAGACATGTCCTTTAAAAAAAGTTTTCCTGTACAGCATGCTACATAAGAGACTATTCAAAAAAAAAAAAAACCCTCAAGTGTTCCTACTGGATAGTACCAAGGGTATGAGAGCACATATGTACTACGTTTAAAAGACTTCTTTTAATGCAGTGTATTATTTTGTTTGCAAACAGGTGACTTAACAGAAGAAAAATACCTACAGATGAAGATTGGTTCCATTTCTTTTGGAAAACAAGTTTAAGCTCTTGGTTTCACAGTTGGATTTCATTAGCACCAAAGTACATCGGCTGAGTGTGTTGAGAAAAAAGAAAGCACGGTTGGCGGGTTATTCCTTTTCCAGTCATTCCATTGATAGCAAACTGGCATGGGTTTTAGATGTGCAATGCACACGACTGCAATGAAGAAAAGGCCTTGGAGATGGCTGTTCTTCGTGCACTTTCTCTTCCCATCTACCCACTTACATCCTTGTCATGGCCAGTTAAGCTAGGGGTCACTATGAATTGGAAGAACACTGGGTTGACAGAGATCTACTGTGAACTGTTTTGGGACTGCTTTGGGATTCATCTTTCAGTGTACGAAAAGACATCTGCTGAAAAACAGTTTCTTCCATATCGGCTTATAGTGCAACACTCTGAAAAAGAAGTTATCACTGTAGCTTTAGGTCAAGAATTAGAAGGTGGGAATGCACTAAAAATTTCCAGTCATCTCCAGTGGAATTTTCATAAAGATGTTTAACATGTGAAAAGCCACAGAGATATACCTATTAATGTGTATACCACAACGTGATGTGTTTAACAAGGCATATTTTTAGAAGGCCACAGTCTTATACTTTGTAAGGGTTTGAAGTTGAAATTTCCATGCTTTTAAATAGCTTTTCATAATTCTGAATTTATAATAGTTTGAATTTTATGTGCATCTGTTTATGAAAAGCAATACTTTGTAATTTCATATTTCAAATTATTTTTAGTCTTTTTGTTTGAACTGTTGCTTGATTACTATAACTGATGACTTTCCTATTGAGAATCAAAACTCAGGATTCTATATAATAGGGATACAAATCATAGCGCTTTATTGTGCACCATTTTAAGTTTTTACTGTTATGCTCCACAATGAAAAATGCGCTCTGCAAAGGTGCAGAAAGTAGACAAGCAGAAAAGCCTATTTGGCTGGCATTTCACCATCTTCAGATGTTTTGAATGGAACTTTAGTAGACAGTCTTTGTAATTGTCACTAAGTTTTTAAACACATGTAGCTCTAGGTGCTGATTTTGCTGTAATGGAATCTTGAAGGGTATGTTATGTGAATAGACCCGTCAGGATGGTCAAGCAGGATGGTTGTGGTCTTGCCTGTGAAGGTAGATATGTTGGACCCAGTTTACAGGACTCTGCTGCCTAAGACAGATCGTGACTTTTATGTGGACAGAGTTAAGGACTGAAATACCAAAAGGAATTTTTTTCTTAATAAGGCAGTTCTCTGGCCTACTCCCAGAAAAGCAGTACTGAATGAACAGTTCCTCAGTGTGTATGAATTGGTTAAAAACTGCTCACACTTCTGTCATTTTTAAAGGGTATTTTCTTTAAAATAATAATAGAGAAAATTTTCTGGTCACAGGTCAGAAACAAAATCTTTGCATGTTAATGTTAGAGATAAATTTATCACTAGGAGCTTCTGTGTAGCGTCAGGGCACATAGCATAATTCCCACATCTTAGAACATTCAAAATACAGACCTAATGTATAAATATCCCAAGGTGGGTGTCAGCACACATGTCCTTTCTAACTTCAATAAAGCATTCAACTTATTAAAAAAAAAAAAAAAAAAAAAAAACCCAAAACCTAAAGCGCCATTGGTTACATTGCTAATGTATTTGAAAAATCTTACATTTACAGACCTTAAAAGTATCAATTTCATACATTCAGTTTTTATGGAGCTACATATATTTCATGGATCTAGTTTTTTAGATGCTTATTCATAATCTAAGTTTTGGTTTTTTTCAACTTTAGAAAAATACAGAGGGATATAGTGTTAAATTAGCAACAACAAAGGCCACTGGCACTTTTATGTGTGGAGAGAAAATTTCTAACCATTTAGTGTGACAGCTGGATTCCTTTAGAAAACAGGCTCACTTTTCAGAAGGACCCTGTGGAGCTGCCATGCGGCTCACACCCTGATCCTGTGGTACATCTTCCTGAGCCACGTGTATAAGTCTCTGGCATGTACTGGAGGGTGTACCGAACTCCACCAACATGCAAGCATGCATCCTCAGCTTGCAGAGTTCCCACTAGAGGAGCGCTCCAGGCTCCTCACACTTGACAATAGGTTGGAGCGTTATTGGCAGCCAGCTGTGTTCATTTTTTGGTAAACTTCTGCAAATATGTCCATTTCTCTGCTTCAAGATTCAGGTTCTTGGGCTGGGGGTGTACTACACCCCCAGTTGAGTCATACAGTGCTCATTTAGCATGTGTCAGGCCCTGTGTTTGATCTCCAGCACTGGGAGAAAAATTCGGATTTCAAAGAACTGATGTCCATTTGCCCATCCAGATATGACTACCAGTTGAACTCATTAATTAAAAACCAGTTTTAAAACACCACAGAAATTATGTAAGCATAGTTAAATTTACTTTTTTTTCTTATCCCTAATAAAATGAGGGACTTTGGCTTTCATATTAAATTTATATATATTTGGTTATCATAATACTTGCAGATCAAAAGTTTCCAATTGGAAACTTGCCTTTACTTTTTGTATAGTTCAGAATATTTGACAGTTAATACTTTTGTTAATGTGTCCTTTTTATTTCCACAAACAGCTGCATGCTTATACAGTTAATTCATAAGTTAATTTACCAATCTAGTCTCAATTGCACTATATTTAAAATAGGGAAAACAAGTAGATGATGAGTTGGGGGTGTTGTGAGGTTAATGTGACTGCTCATTTGGATGTAATTTCACATATTTCCTCTACTAATGCAATCAAAATGACGTGTATACACGCTACCAATGTAGCATAGAAAAGGTATTCCTAATGATTTAAAATCCTGGTTGGTTGTAGTAGTATGAAGAAACACCTGGCTAATGAGGATTCTTAAGAAGTTGTCTCTGAAGCATATTTTGTAGGCTTACTCAGTTTGTGAGCAGCATAAAAACAATCATTCCTTACTTTATTGTGGAGCTGAAACAGGTCTGTAAGATGCATTTTTAAGGAGACTCACAGATCCAGCTGGAGGTCATTAAGGTGTGGGATTTCTGTAGAGGGAATGTGGAGCTTTTCTCATTCCATGTGCACTTTTGCTGACTTGATAATGGAGGGGGAACATTCTTTTTTTTACAAAGTTGAACTGTTTGGCACTATTTGGTAACACATGGCATGGCCATGTTATGTCATAAAATGTGTTAAGTTACGAAGCACGCTTTGGTCATTGTAGATACTGGAAGCAAAACTCTTAAATCAGTGGAACACAAACTAGTGAACAGCTTCCTTTCTGGGATGGAAGGGGATTAGTATGCAGTTAATGCAATTAAATGTTACACATTCTCTAAGCCTATTTTTAAATTATATTCACCCAGTATGTTTGTATTAATTTAAATCAATGCTTTTAGCCTTAGAAAACCTTTTCTTTCTACAAATACAAGTTTTTGTTTTGTTTTTCTTTCCCCAGCTTTTTATTTAAGTGTTACGCTTTTAACACCAGATAGGAGTCTGTAAAGTACTATTGGGTCCTGAAAGGCCCTATCAGGGAATTGAGATTTCTTAGTATTTTACCAGATTATTTCTTAAAAAAAACAAACAAAAAACCCCAAAAAACCAAAAACATCAAACACTGTAAAATGATTTCAAAATCATTGTAGACACCTTGTTAAACTGCAACCACTTAATACTGAAAGCAGAAACCTTTAATTTTACCAAATTCTTGCACTAAATGTAAGGAATAATATGAAGTTAAATGCATTTTAAACAGACTTTATTTCCAACTTATAGCTTATTGTAGAAAAAAAACTGCATAGTGTTAGAAAAGGAACAATCAGATTTTTTTTTCGGATAGAAGAGGGTAAGAAGGCAGGAGCACCTTGCATTTCACTTAGTGCTACTGACAACTCAGTAGTCACTTCTGAACTTTGCTGCAAACTCCTCTTCAGTTAAAACACATTAAGAGGAGTCTCTGCTTAATTGCTTTGTAAAATGAAGCAATGTTATTTTTTACCTTATAAATATAGTGTAATTTAAAAGTTTTTCCTACAAAATGATTTTATATTGTTGCCTAAAGTATCATGTATGTAAACAGTTTTTAAAGATGGGAGAGAGTCCAGATCCATTTTTGTGTTCATGTGTACACTAAATGTTTGCCCATTGTGTTATTTCAAAGAATGCTTATTCTAGAATTTTCTGTTTTGCCCACAGTAGATATACAACTTGGCACTGTATGATTTCATTGATTGAATTCTAGATTTAAAAATGATTCCCTCCTTCGTTTTACAAGCACATTTATTATGCTACTGTAAGGTGCATGTACAGTAAATACCTCTGAGGCCGACATGTTGAAGAGTTTATGGATGTTGTTTCACACTGAATCTCAAAGCAGTCATTTGTTTTGAGGATATGGGGAAGTTTTGTTTGTTTTTGTAAATTCAGGTACAACAAAGAGTGGCTCAGTTTGGGGAGTTGAGGGTAGGTAGGAAGGCCTTGAAAAGTGATGTTTAGATGACAAAAATATATGGGTATTGGTTGTAGAGCTCAGTTTTTAAAATTTTTTACTTGCATGTCCTATGGTTAAGTATCAAAGGGTATAACAAATTTTTCCACCTTTTTCCCAATGTTAACTTTGTTTTTAAGAAGTTTCCATAATCACAAAGTGGCATTGTCCTTTCATTTGTGTGAGCCAAGAGGGGTAGACAGTGCAGCCACACAGTGACTTCTGACTCCTTTGACTGACATATCCCTCCTGACTTACTGAATTTCTCACTGTACTGTATGTATTGCCAAGTGTGAAACTATATATATATATATATATATATATATATATATATATATAGTTTATGAGAAATGGAAGGCTGCAGATCATTTTGCATGAATAAAAGCCCACTAGGGCTAATGAAACTGACATTTTTTAGTCGTTCTGGGTCAATGAAAATTACTATGGCAAGCTGATTCCCCATTACTAGCTTTGTGCAATATTGTAGAGAAGCAAAACACTAGCACATTGTGCTTGGCTTTTAAGGATGGCTTTAACCACCATTATATTAAAAGGACCATGCACATGTATTGCAAATGCATTCTTAATACTTACATATGTTCAGTTAACATTCTAAAGTATTGAAAGTACAAAGAAAATACTAAGCAAGCATTTCCAGCAATACTCTGAAACCTCCCATAATTGTTTTTGACTGTTGCCTTTTGCTCTTTAGTGCAGCTTTCTGCATTGTAATTCTTGTATTGCTTTGTATTTCATGGTTTTTACACTCATGACTTCAGAGTTAAGTACTTATATACCAAGGATTGCAGTCACCTTTCTCTTATTGTACAGGCAATGTAACAACTACAGTTTTGGTGCTTAACAATATTCCTTTTTTCTTTAATAAAGGATATTTATTTGAATTAACTGGATTTTGTTTGTTTAAAATAGCACTGGTGGTAGGTAGTTCCATTTCAAAGAGGAATGTAGCAACTTACGCATTTTGGTAATGTTATAATGCATGAGGCGGGACCCAGGGACTGGCTCTCACTAAGTGTTGTTTGTTATGAATGTTTTAATGAAAGCTTTATTTGTGCTAGTAGCATTGTTATTTGTGTTGTGTAAATATCTAAAAAGTTTGGAAATGTTGTTTTCCAAAATCAGATGTTCAAAATGCTTTCATTCAGTGGTCATCTGAATTGAGAGAGATTACTTGCAAACTTGGAACTAGCTGACTAGAGCCCAGCAGACACTGGCCAGGTTTTGTCAGTGGTTTAACACTAACAGCAGTTAAAAAGCTGCTGATACTTAAGGGCACAGATCTTGGTCTGTCCATTTGTTTTGTGTAATCAAAGACTGATGAGAAACAAAAACTATAGAAGACACCTTTTATCCTTTATAGCTTTTTATAAAAGATCTGGAATAAAAAGGCCTGCTCCTAAGTCTTTTTTTGCAGGTGTGCTACAGTGGTAAATGTACACATCAAACTAGATGAGCAAACTGATGCCATTAAATAGGCCACCTCTAGGGTAACTTGGGAGGGGAGCAGGAGGCAGGGGAAGAAGCTCCAGCCTAGCACCTGGGTGCAGCTTATGATCTTGAGGATGGTGGCAGACCCTGGACGTAGTTCTGGGGTACAGTGATCTAGTTCCTCTGAATGTTTTAGGCCCGAATGATCTTCTTCATACCTAAAGACCCACCCTGGCATCCGATCTGTCTAAGTGTTCAATGATTTAAATAGCCTTTCAGATAAATCATTTGGTCTTCTGTACAGTCCACTGTGTGACTGACCTCTTGAAAAACAGGTGCGGGCCGCACTGGATCTATGGCACTGGCTCTTGAAGTGCTTCTCACTCAGCCCAGCTTTGTCTGATAAGTTTTACATGCTGGCTTTCATGGATGGTTGAGATACCTAGCTGTTCCTAAGTGTGTCTAGGCCCTCTTCATAACTCTTCCTCTCTGTGCTTTCTCATGAATAAATAACATCCATTATCGTAATTATTCCCAACTTAAAATCTTTTTCTGGCCTGCACCTCTCACTCACCATGTCTGTATGCATTCACCTGTTTCATGATCTCTTACTTTGGATTCCTCACATACCTCAGACAGCCCATCCAGAAATGGTGATCCTATCAAGTTTACCTAACATCTGGCACA